GCCCGAGGTACTGACTTGGCGGGCGGTGGGCCTTGGCCCTGGCTCTTCCGCGGAGAAGGCCAGTGTTAGACCTCCTCTCTTCGGGAGCTAGAGAGGGAAAGTGAGGGGCGGGAGCCGGCCCGGGGGGCCGTGCAGCCCCTCCAGCAGGGGCCGCGGCTGCCGGGAGGGAACCGCCTTACCGGTGCCTCTCCGGAGCCTGCTTGTCGCCTGCGTTTCAGCGATGCCGCCCTTAAGCTCAGGGAAGCGGGTTCCCGTTCCCGAGCGAGGACGGGGCTGCTTGTGCGCCCTTTCCGTAAGCTCGCCTGCCGTGGGAACCCCGTCCGAGCTCAGTGGCCGAAGCTGAGAAGACTTCTCTAGCTGTCTTGCACAGTCGTCACATTTATCTTTAGTTGTCCGAGTACAGCATTTTTATGGGTTTTTTTTGGCTAGCGATACGTGCATGACCTGAGCCATTTACCGGCTTTGCACACAGATAAATGTAATAACTAGCGTGTGTGTTTTGTGGCGAGAAGTTGTCTGTGTTCTACTTTATTGTTTCAAACAGGCTGATGTAGTGATTCCTAGCCCTTTTCCAGAGGGCTAGGCCTTTCATAGTATAAGTGACTTGCAGACCTAAAGGAGACTTGGGTGAATAAGTTTAATAGGATTTGGTCTCAAGATACCGGTGTGTTTAATAAATCTATTTTAAACATTTGGGAGAATAAAATTGGCCAGAAACGGAAGGAATAATTGGAGGTAAAGGTAGACACAGCTTTGGGGATCCAAAGGGAAATACATAGTAATATAGCTACTAATCAATTAATTAGTCAGAAATGTGAGGATAAGTACTTAATGAACAGAACAAGTACTCGTTATCCCTTTAAAACATGCAATTCTACTTGGATAAGCTCTAGTTATTATAAACTTGCCATAGTTTCAGGATTAGTAAACACATGTGATTGGTAGGGTTTGAAAAACCACATTTGAAATCTTTATTTATAGATGGCTATTTATAGCGTGTTAGCTCAATATATGAGAGCCTAAAGTGAAGAACCTAGTATTTTCCAATCACATCTGTGCGTTAAAACAATGTTGGTTAGGTGCTAGGTTGGTTTACACCATTGTGTACAAGCTCCAATGAGCAAAAACAAGGACCATGTAGTGTTTTAAAATGCTATTTAAATGGGCAAGTACAAGTTTGAAAAAGTGGACATGAGTTGATGAAAGCCCTTTTCTTCATGGTACAGTTGATCAATGCAGATTTAGTATGCATCAGTTAGATCTATGTTTGTCAACTAAAAAATAGGAAATGGCTAAGATCTGAAATTTCGCCGTGTTTCAGTTGCTGTTTCTTTGTGTATGAGTCATTTAAACCCATTTATAATGTGATTAAAAAAAATGTGTATATACACATAAAACCTCAAGAAGGATACAGATCAGAGTTGGGTTTTTTTTAAATAATTCTGTATAATGTGTAATTGTTCAGCTTCATCTCAGAGGCAGTCCTGTGTTGCAAGGTGCCTAGTTATGTACCTGGATGAAGCCAATGAGTCATTCCTTTTAGTAGATTTGTTAAGAGTTTTGGAAAAGTTGTCCTGAGCAGACTGGGAGTGAGAGGGGATCCTTTTTTCTTTAAAATATCTGAAAAACTCTTACAAAATATGGTGTTCGTTTTCTTGTAGCATTCAGAGAACCTGGTAAGATATACCACATTAGCTTTAAAGCTTTGGTAACTTTGTTTTTCTTGTTACCAACAGCCATGAATACTTAAGACCAGCAAGGCAACTGTCATCTTGGTTGGTAAGGTTTGGGAGAGCCTTCTGCTCTGCATCAGAAGGATGTGCCATCTAGCAGAGCCTCTTTGAGCATGGTAGTTGGCATATTTTGTGGATAAGTGAGCTTATTAGTGTTCCATCAATGGTTCCTAGAACAGAAGGCAATGATATGTAGCTGTGAAAACAGCTTACTAAGCTGATCTTGCTTAGTAATAGCAATGAAGTTAAAAGAAATTATTTACATTTCCACACTTTTGGATAAGCATATTTCTTTACTAGATGGGCAATTAAAATGCTGCAAAAGGAAGAAAAGATACAATGTCAATATCAAAAGAAGTTCTTTTGTCTAAAGAAGTTTGACAGTAGGAGATCACTAAAGTTTCAGAGGGCTTTGGGTCTCACTCATACTCTTCTTCCTCATCTCACTAAAGGTTGGGTTGCTGGGATGGAGATTGCAGCGCAAAGTGTTACAGGGTTACCCACCGGTCCCAGCACAACCCTTTTCCCTTCCAACTTTTCAGCCTTGTGTTCTAGCGTTGTACTGGGCTGCTGGGAGACGAAAAGGGGCTGGAGTCAGGATGGCATGACACCGGCCTCTGCAACACTGGAGCTGAGTGGAAGGGCATGCAGCACAGGTTGTAGAGGATCATGTACAGCTGATTGCAAGACTGGAGCAAGAGATGCATAGTAATGTCATGTGGCCCCTTGTACTTGTAGATTAGGATGTTTCTGCCATGTTGGTATATTGCTTAATACTGCGTAGGACAGATCTTTAAGATGAATCCAAGACAGCAGAATAAATGCTGACGGGACAGTGGCTCATCATATTCCTCTAAGACAAGGTGTGGTTCTTTGGCTTTGCTCTAACCAATTGTTCTGTATGTTTGCCTCTGCTTGCAGATGTGTATGCTTTGCCTGTAAGGAAGAGTCTAGAACAAGACACTGTTGCACATGCTTCTTGTGCATATGTAAGAATCCTATTGCTCTGTACTTCCCTGGGAGGCTCATGTGCAGTGTCCCACAGGAATAGATGTGACTAGAGGAAACCACCAACTGATAGTGAGAGAAATGAAGAGGGAAGTTCTCTGTGTCTTTTTTTGGTCTTTTTTTTTTTTTTCCCCCCTCAAACAACTGTAAAAGGATTACCCAATTCTTGCACTTCAATCTGTTGAGGTTTCTTTAGATTTCAGAACACCACTATTATACCTTTCCTTTGTAGCTTGCTTGGAAAGCTGTCATGGACAAACCGAGAACACCTCCTTAATATATTTGGGAACACCTTTGGAGGAGCGTATTTGTCCTCTTGTATTCTGAGAATGTGAAATGTTGGACTGTTTTCTGAGTCCTGAAGCTTACCTAGTTTTCTAATAAGTAGTAGCTTCTCTTGGGGTTATTATGGAAGCCTGGTGTATGTTCCATTTATGATTCAGTAGCTGCACTGTCTATGTATGCTTCTCCCTATAAGCTGATGCAGTTTATCGTTGTCAGATAATATTTATTGTCACAGTTAGCATTTTATATTTTTATTGAAGCTTTCAAAGTACTACTTACATCGCAATGCAATTGCAGCTGTTAGGAGCAGTAACTTAGGCTCTAGTCAAGGAACTTTACAGTTTCCTATTAAACTTGTAATTGGAAAAAATACTATAGGGTAGTATTTCTGTTTCTTCTTTGACTGTCACTGTTTTTCATGTCTTGTTAATATTACACCAAGTACCCAAATAGTGAAAGTAAAATAAAATAAAATTGTCTTTTAAATTAGTGTTAAATGCTGTAGTAAGTAGTAACTTGCCCAAAGAGAAGTTGAACTCTCCGTACGTTTTATGTATAAAGCATATTTCTGTGCATTTGCCTTTCTCTGCGTATGTATTAACAAACAAATTTTATAGTTGAGAATCCTGCTCAAAATGTAATATTCTGAATTTGCGCATTAGTCAAAGATTGTTGTTACAGGCACGTTTTAGGCCACCAAGCCTTATACAATGAAAGAGGTTCCCTCCAAGAGTAGCATGGGAATTCTGAGTTGTCCATCATCTGTCATGCCCTCTAAGGAGTAAAATAGAGTTAGCTAAGGACCTTTCCCTAGACTGAGGGACGGGTAGGAGTAGGCAAGACTTATACTCTTGGTATGAAGAAGAATTGCATTCTTCTTGCCATGCCATGTGGTGGGCCAATTTCCTGTTTGGAGTGCTCTGGAGGGAAAAGAGGAGAAACTGAATTGATTCTTCAGACAGAAGTCTCCGACAACAGTGGAAAATATGTAAATCAATTATTGACAGTACAGTGTCCTGTTGCTGGCAGCTGAATAACTCTCTGGTGACACACTCCCTCATCTTTTGATATCCTTACTGTTCTCCTACATTATCTGCTTTGGTTTTTTTGGCAGGACATCTTTCTTAAACGAGAGACTGGTCCTCCTACTGCTTTCTTGGGAAAGCAGAATTACCACTGGTTGTTCTTATAGGTGCCCAGCAGTTATCCCCTGTCTTTTAATGAAACCTATTTTTTTTTGAAAGACTTAAGGATTAGATGCTGCTATTCAGGAGGACTGATTATTCACCTTGCAGGCTCTTTTGTAAGCCTCACTTGTATAGTTTCCAGATATTTTGTTTGCTTGAAGGAAGGGAGTTGTCTCATGCGAAAATCAAATACACAAATACGCTGTAAATTTTATACCAGGGCTTCTTCAAAAGCTCTTCAAGAGAGTCTAGAGATATTCTCAGGGAATAGGTGCTTCAATAACAGAGTGGATTTGGATGCATTAGTAATACCTCATATTTTTATTTTTTCTTCCTTTTCTTCCCCCCCTCCCCTACCTTGTTTGAGAGTGAGTTCTCAGTAATTTAGAGAAACATTTGGGAATGTAAGCAGAAGCAATAGAGGGTGTTGATGTCAGAGCCTAAGCAACATTTTCTTCCAAAACTAAACTGGAGAAAGATCCACTGAAAAGTAGAAGAGAACAGGTGCATTGTTGAGAATTAGGAAACCAGGTGAGACTGAATTTCCTCCTGAAAGTACTGCCATTGTACTTCTTTCCTCCCTGATGTGTCTTTTTTCATCAGAAGCATGCTAGCCATTGGTAGAAACATACGTTTTTTTGTTTGTTGGTTTTCTTTTTCAAAACTGTTAATAATGTCAACTGCTTATATAATCTAATTTAAAAAAATAAGTCCGTAACTCTGAGATTTTAAAAGTTTAATTAACTTCATAGAATCATACAATAGTTAGGGTTGGAAAAGACCTCAAAGTTCCAACCCCCCTGCTATGGGCAGGGGCACACTCCACTATACCAGGTCGCTCAAAGCCTTGTCCAACCTGTCCTTGAACACTTCCACAGATGGGGCATCCACAACATCTCTGGGCAACCTGGTCCGGTGCCTCACCACTCTCAATGTAAAAAAATTTCTTCCTTATACCTAATCTAAATCTCCCCTCTTTCAGTTTAAAGCCATTGCCCCTTGTCTTATCACTACATGCCCTTGTAAAAAGTCCCTCTCCAGCTTTCCTGTAGGCCCCCTTTAGGTACTGGAAGGCTGCT